CTAAGCCGTCACTTATTGAGGCTCAACTGGAGTACCCGCCTGACAGCTGCCTGCGAGCGTTCCTCTGCCGCCACTGCCAGCGCCGCCGGGAGACGGCGCTGTGAAATTTAACGTCCCAGGGAGGATTGAGAGCTGTGGGCTTGAGGGATGGGAGGGAGGGGGTGTGGGGGGCCTCCAAGGGGGAAAAGGTATGTGTTGATGTTGGAGGATTAAGTTGAAGGAAGAAGAGTGCGATGAAGAAAGAAGACCGCGGGGTCCCGCCAGATTGCCGCAATCAGAAACCGACAAAGTGTTTGGGTACGCCGCCATACCACCGCAGCGCGCTTTTGCCGTCTTTTCCATCAGCAATGGACCAAAGGAGGAGGGGGTGCCACCGCCTCCTCCTCCTCTTCTTCTTCTTCTTCTTCTTGGCTGTAACAATACGCCTGCCTCAGCGATTCTCCAAACGTATCATCAATACACCACTGCGAGGGGGCGGGGGCGGGGGCGGTGGAGCATTAACCCCGCGGCGAGCTCCGGTGGTTTCCGCGGTGCATGCCCCCCCCCCCCCCACTCCAATCAGAGGCCTCCTGCGGGATCAGCTCATTTTATCCCAGGAGGGCACCCCGACAACATTTGGCTGCCTTCGGAGGGAATGTGATGCCAACGCCACGCTAATTCACACGTCAGAAAGCAAAGTGCCATGAAAAGGCAAGCGGGAGGTTTGGGGGGGGGGGGGGGATTGTAAGATTGTGTCATGGGGGATGTTCAACCCCAGTGGTGGGCAAAGTATTCTCGGCGGGCCGCATACGGGCAGCTCCATTTGTCGAGAGGCCGGCATGATGTGTTGCATTCGTTCAGTCATATTTTTCCCAGTCGAACGGGTTCATTAGAATGCATGAATCCATTTTCTTATTCATTGAGCTCATTATAAATGACTCAATGTACTGTAAATAAAACAAAATGAGTCATAAATACACTTCACAGATGATTGAAAATAGTTACATTCATTTTGGTAAATGACTTATTTAAATACATTATAAAACAGTAAAAAACAAATTTACACAGGCTATACATTCAAAATGATAACACGGTACCCGTAACATTGCTTGTTTACTTATAAACACGGATGAGTAATTTTTTGCAAATGACGAAATGAAATTATTTGTCTACATATTTCATACCGTTTGGAAAAAATATATATCAATAAAAATAACACTGAAATAATCAATTATTCAATCAATTATTGTAAAAAAAAAAATTTAGTAAATTTTTTAAAAATCACATATTTCATTAAAAATACTTTTACTTTTATATTGGTTAGTTTGTAGTAAATAAAATAAAAATAGCAAAATACGTACATTTCCATATACATTTAACATTTTTCAAATTACTAATACAAATTTTAAATTATTGCGAAATTATTAAGATTCAACATTTTTTTGTATTCACATGGAAAAATGGGTTCGTTGATTTGAATGCTACTAATGCCCGATTACATTTAAAGTGAAAATTTTTATGCACAGACATATGACGTACGTACGTACAGCTCATGGCTGTCCATTTTAAAAACCCATCTTGGCCCCGACGCACTTTTTGCTCCACTGATGACTGGAAAAGAAATGAATTCTTTCGTAATCCACAAGGTCCACACGGAAGATCCCGGTGATTGCCGTCCTTGTGAAAATCAATGCAAACGCTTGGATCGCTGCTTTACGAGGCGCGGCGACCCCACAACAACCCCTCAAAGGCAAGCGCAAGCCGGATGACATAACTCTCGTCCGCGGACGCAACACCATGTGGCTTTCCCATTTCATCCGCAAAAGCTCGCAGGCATTGTGCTGCCGGCCTGGCCTGGATTTACATGAGCAATCAGCCAGTGGCAAGCGTTGGGGGGCGGCGGCGCTCCGCCATCAATCTCTGATGGGAAATAAAAATGAAATGCACTTCTCAGGCACGCCAGATTAAGGGTGGCGCTTTTATCAAACACTGAAGTCTATTTCAAGTTGTGCTCATAAATAAGTGAGGCTCTGAAAGAGCGGGTGTTGAAAGAGGGGGTTGGAAAAAAAACAACGAGGTCTCGACACGGAGGACACCGCATGCCGCGGTGGGATTAAGGAAAAAAAATGGGGGCATCACAAGACCCCCCCCCCCGATTCAACCTCAAATAAAGGAATTCAAATTCCTTGTTGAAGTGGGTACATTCCCGAAGCATTTGGATTCGCTAGCGTGGTCTCGACTTCCCCTTGAGAGCGGCGCATCCATTATGAAGATAAAGCTTTCAAGCAGGAAGTGAGCCCTTCCTGCCTAAAATGTCCGACTGTCCCATGGGGGGCTCACACCCGATCATTTTTTCCTCGACATTTCACCACAATCTAGCTCTACTTTCGCCTGATGTTCGCGAACTGACTTTTCGTTCGTTTCCTGGACTCTCAAGTCAATAGGCCAGAGAACACTTTTGGTTTCGGTTTCAACGCGCACATGTAACTGGTGGGAACTAAGACCTGTCTATGTTGGGAAGAGGCTAAAATCCTACTCACTCATTCTTGACAGTAATTTGAGATCCAAGTCAGCGCTGACATTCAAGAAGTTGATGTGTTCAGTGTGAAAATCTACTGACCAATTTCTTTTGAGAAGCCACTTCAACCCGAATCCTGAATTCCTGTCGGTATTCTAAAATATTTTAAGTCTCCAAAGAAATGTTCGACTCACACATGGGCTCATTTTATGACCCAGGTCTCAACATATGTCATCCAAATCCTGATTCCTGATTCAGAAATTCTTCCGAAAATGTGCAATTTTAATTTTTTCAAAACAATCATCGCAACAGAACATTCCTGAACGACAAATGTTCTCATGTCCACTGAGGTCAAGTGAGGACATTTCTGGCATACATTTGCATGCGTGTAAATGATCAGAATTGGTGCCCCCTGTACCTCAATTTGAGGCCGGGAAAAAAAAAAAAACCTTGAGTAAGCTCATCGGGACAAGCCGTAATAGCGGTCAGGCTAGCTACAGTAAACAACAACTGAAAAACTGTAAAGACCATAAAGTGTTGCTACGGGAAAAAAAAAACCCTAACATGCGGCATTTTACGTGCTGTGGCCCCGCAAGACATGATTAAACGTCATTTATAAACATATTGCGAAGCTATACGCAGCAAATCGCCCATCTGCTGATTTTTGGGTGTGGCGGCGCGACGCATAAATGTAGCGTATGGCGACGCAGCTAAACGCCGACCCGTGTGTGCGTCTCTCGCACACATACGCGCACACATGCAGTTAATAACGCCGGGTTTAACATCTCGGCGATCTGAGCACCCGGCATGTGTGGCGCTAACCCCCTCGGGTATCCTCAGCGGGGTGGCACCGTAATTAGCGGGCCGGACGGCGGCTGCCATACCATCGGCAGGCGCACCCGGCGTGCTAACACGGCGGGGCGACACCCTTTCAAGGGGCTCCCGCTTGTTTTCTGGTTCAGACGAGCAACTTCACAGAATATCAACGGTGATAGACTAGCTTTGCCGTACAAGCTTGAACTGCTAAGGCCGCTAGCTTGATCAGCTAGCATGAGCAGCTACTTGTGAGACATTTTCTGAAAGTATGATGAATTTGGCTTGAGGTTTTGGAGTTTGGATCATATCAAAGGAGCGATGAGACATCATTTCAGCCAACAATATCAGCTTTTCAGGACATATTTTCTGAAAGAAACCCAAAACAAAGCTGTGCAATTTGGAGTTGGAGGTCAAATTTGGTGCAAGTCGCTCGACTTTATTGAAGACAGCATCCGCAGTTTTTTTGTCACACGGAAGAACGACAACATGCTCCGAATGTTGTCCAAATTGTCTTTGAATAAAATTTCAGGTCGGTGTTCCAACAACTATTAGAGTTTTAATCATTTCAAGAGAGGTGCCTGTGTCTCCAGACTTCCTTTCAGCTAGCATCAGAAGCTTTTTTGTGACAGTTCTGACACCAGTGGTCCAGAGAGTATGAAAATTTAGAGTTTGAGGTTTTGGATTTTGACAAGCGTTAGTAAGAAAACTGTCATTGCTTCCTGACTTCGTTTCAGCTAGCAACATTTATTTTTGGAGAATCTGAAAAGATATTAACAGGCCACTAAAGTTGAACAATTTTGACTTGAAATTGACTTGAAATTGGATTAATTTTTTTCCTTCCCAAAAATTTTGAATGCTTTTAGAGTTCAGAGAGATGAACCAGACTACATTTCTGCCAGCAACATTGTCTTCAAAATGATTACTTAACACTTACAAAAACTTGTACAATCTCAAGTTGTAGCTAAATTTCAACCATTTTTTTAAAGTTCAAATTGTCAACAAGTGTGACATCAGCACACCTCGCCGTCCGCTTTTCCACTTGCTTGTTGAGACATTTTCTGAAAGTGCAACACCATCCCACCAAAATTTTCATCCAAAACATGCCACCCATTTTTCATCGACTTCATTTATCTTCTGTGCGCGTGGCCACTTGTGCATGCGTACGTCTGGGCGCCGACACGCTCAGCCTCTGACAGGAAGCGCTCATCAAACAAGACTTGACATTGGACATTTCTGCCATCACGGGAATGATCTCGTTTCACGTAACCCAATTAGATGCGACCCCGGCGCACCAATCAGCACTAATTCCCGCCTCGTAAACGTTCAAATCGATCGTAAACATTGATGCAAACTAGGTGGTGCTGGTGGGGCGGGAGGGGAGGGGTGGGCGGCAATTAACAGCCCTGGAAGCCGTCCTGATCCGGAACCTTCTCTGCCACCAAAGCGTTATTTCTTCCACCGCTCCCGTTCTTAATTAGAACCTTGTCATTTTTTTTTCTTTCGCCGCGAAGCAACATTTAAATGTCAGCAATTATGAAGTCCCAGCCAGCGTGACGGTACGGTAGCATGAGCTTCCAAAAGCATAGATTCCCCTTAACCTAAACAAAGCAGTTCCACTTGCAAGCCTGCAGAGGGCGCCACTGCGGAGTGCTTCCAAAAGGAAAAAAAAAACGGGAAACCCACTCACCAGTCTCGTGAAGAGCGGCACTCCCAGATGCCACAAGTGCTCGTTGAGCAGTCCGCTGTATACCACGTTCCCAAAGACGCCGATGCTTCCCGACTTGCACAACGCGTTACCTGGCAACACACAAACAAAAAATGAGTTTTGGTTTCTACCACGCGAACGGGTCCAGAGTTGCAGTTTCGATGTTGTTCATAACTCAAAAACGACGACACGCTGAATTCTGATTGCAAACGCAAAAGCGGGACAATCTGGTATCTGACTGCAGTTTCGCACAAGCGATGCGACTTCCCACAATTAGATGATTCGATGACAAGCGCCGCACATCTGGCGCCATGTTGAAAAGTCATCCAATGGTGAAAATTGCTCTCAACACGACAGGGCAGGACAAGTGAGTGTTGCGTGTTTCGCTTCACGCTGGCCGTTTTGGCCTTTTCCGCTATCCCCTTTCACGCAGGCAGCGCGCTGCCTCAGTGACACATCAATGCGCGCGCAAATAAATACACACGCACAGACACAAGTGGACATCGACGGACTTTCGCTCACTCACACACACATTTGGAGAAACACACAGTCATACACACACACACCACGTACGTGCACACATTCACACACAAAAACATGCATACACAGAGCGAGGCCGTAGAGTGATGTAGTGAGCAGTGCACCGGTACAGACAAGGCGTTGTAATTTGTGCACAAAAGCGTACGGATGGGGGGGAGTGGGGGGGAGGAGCCAACAAGCAGCTCATGCATTATTTACCAAGAAAAAAAAAAAAAAAAAAAAAAAAAAAGAAAAGAACCATTAAAATGTCAGCAGTGCTCGGGGCAGAGAAGCCGAGAAGCAGCACATTCATTATTCAGTGTGTGATTAAAGTGTGTCTAAGGGGGAGTGCGTGCGCACGTGCGTGTGCGCCAGTTGTGGAGGAATGCTACGCCCCACAATCAACTTCAGCGGCTCTTCTTGTTTAGGTTACTGCAACTTTTTACTGGTCAAACCAGCTGTCAATCAAGGGTAGGGTTTCCAGCAAAGCTTACGATTTTGAATTTGAGTTTAAGGCCGTGGTTAGTGTTCACAGCAAGGGTTACGGTTTTAAGACTGGGTCAGGCTTTTAAGACAGAGTTACACTTACCCCCCAGAGCAGGGTAAGTTTTTTAATAAATTAGGGATTCAAGTCAAGGTTTCAAAGAAGATTTTTGAGTGGTGGTTACAGTTTCAAGTTAGGGTTTTAAGTCAAGCTGGGGTTTCAAAGTAGGGTTTCAAGTCTTGGTTATGGTTAGGCAGTTGTGGAGGAATGCTACGCCCCACGATCAACTTCAGCGGCTCTTCTTGTTTAGGTTCCTGCAACTTTTTACTGGTCAAACCAGCTGTCAATCAAGGGTAGGGTTTCCAGCAAAACTTACGATTTTGAATTTGAGTTTAAGGCCGTGGTTCGGGTTCATAGCAAGCGTTACGGTTTTAAGACTGGGTCAGGGTTTTAAGACAGAGTTACACTTACCCTCCAGAGCAGGGTAAGTTTTTTTTAATAAATTAGGGATTCAAGTCAAGGTTTCAAAGAAGATTTTTGAGTGGTGGTTACAGTTTCAAGTTTTAAGTCAAGATGGGGTTTCAAAGTAGGGTTTCAAGTCTTGGTTATGGTTTTCAACAAAGGTTAGAGTTTCAAATTGGGGATTTAAGTCAAGCTGGGGTTTCAAAGTTGGGTTTCAAGTCTTGGTTATGGTTTTCAACAAAGGTTAGAGTTTCAAATTTGGGTTTATGATTTCTCAGCAGGGTTTTTAGCCTGGATTAAAAGTTACAAAATGGTTATGGTTTCAATGATTTCAAATAAGGGTTACAGATTCAAATTATGGTTTTAAATCCGGGTTAGGCTCTCCAAGTTGGATTTCAAGACAGGGTCAAACTTCCTGGTATAGGTAGGGTTTGCAATCAGGCTTTCAAATTAATGTTTCAATGTACGGTTTTGAGTAAGAGCTACAGTTTCAAATTAGGATGTGAAGCCAGGATTGGGATTTCAAACAAGTGGAACAGCTTTGAATTAGTGTTCAGGTTTCAAGGATGCTTTCAAGACAGGGAGTGACTTCGAAACAGAGGTACCGTTTAAAAGGCTTTTAAGTTAAAGTTCCAAAGTAGGGCTTCGATGCCACGTCAGGGTTTCCAACTAGGATTAGGTTTCAAATTAGGACTTCAAGCCTGGTTTACATCTTCCAACACAGGTTATGGTCTCAAATAAGGGGTTCAAACCAGAGCTGAACTAAGCAGGGTTTCCAAACGGGGGTTCGGGTTTCCAACAATGGTTATGGTTTCAAGGACTTGAGTCAAGGGTTACAGTTTCACACACACCAAGGTCAGGCTTTCCAAGTAGGGTCTCGAGATGTTGATAAGGTTTCCGATAAGGGTTAGGGTTTCAAATTGGGGTTGGAAGACATGGCTGGGCACTCAAACAAGGGTTAGGGCATGAAAGTAGGGCTTCAAGCATGTGTTGTGCGTGGACCGAAAGGTTTGGATGCAATTTCTGGCAGGAGGCACAATGCTGCAACACAATAAGGAAAACAACACTTTTAATAATTCAGGTGCTTGGAGAGTGTGGGGGATGAGGGGCGTGTGTGTGTGTGTGTGTGTGTGTGTGTGTGTGTGTGTGTGTGTGTGTGTGTGTGTGTGTGTGTGTGTGTGTGTGTGTGACGTCTAAAAGTAGCAGCGAACGCCTCATTTAGCCACTGCTGCTCCGCATTATTAAAGTTGTATTGAACCCCCTCCTGGGTCTTTCCCCAACTTTCTTTTTTTCTGTCGTCGGGCTTTCCAAACACCTTTCAAGACAGAGTTAGGCTTTAAAAGGAGGGTTTCAAGGCCAGGTTGGGGAGGTTGGGGTTAGGGTGTCAAATTAGGGTGTCGGGCTTGGGCTAGTGTTTGAAGACAGGATTTGACAAGACTTGCAGCTTTCTGTCTCCAAAAGGCCAGATTATTATTTTTTTTTTTTTTGGGTCCAAAAGTTGTAATTTTCCTACTTGATGGTTCCTGCTTAGCTTGCCCAATATGTTCAAACGTTTATTTCGGATATACAGGATAAAGCGCACATACGGTTTAAATCAAAGCTCAGATCATAAAGAGACGAACGAAGCAGACGAGGTCGAATGAGGCGATGAGCTCTGATTGGCTTGGAGACGATCACATGACATAAGGGCACATTTCCACCAGCAAATTCTTTGAACGGTAACGGCTCAACATGACCCTGAAATTCAAACCTAAAAGGCAGACTTCCTGTGTCTGTTTGGTGAAGACTTTTTCTGGGTCTACTTTTTGGGTGTCTACTGAAGATAAACGTGTTTACAAAATCGAACATTTGGGGACTGGACTTTTCTTTTTTGAAAATGTCAGGTGGGGACCACCTGAAAAGAACAGACTTCCTGTGTCTGTTCAAACATGGCTTCTTCAGACTTTTTTGTGGGTCTTATCCTGATAGAGATGTCTACCAAATCTCATGTCGATAAGTCAAACTGCCTGAATTAAAACAACACAAAAACAGTTTGGACCATCCGAACCAAGTGACACTAAAATGGCCACTTGAAAACAAAATGGCGGACGTCTGGAGTCGAACGCCATGAGACTTTTTTTTGTGGTCTACTCTTGTCTGTCAAATCTCATGTGGCTTAGTTCAACTCGTTTTGGGGACTGAATTTGGAAAAAGGAAAAAAAAAAAAAAGTCAATGTGTTCTCCAGTTCCACTCAAGCCCAACGCTAAGCATCTTCTCTTTAAAAGGAGGTTTGATGATGTCAGCGCCGAGCCCGCGGGCCGATTAGAAGCAATTTCTCTGCGATGAGCGTCGGCGTCGCGGCGTTACACAACGGAGGGTTGCACACTTTGGACGATTTCTTTGCTTTCTAATAACGCGGTGGCGCCTTAATGGATCGCTCGCTGGATCTAACGTGAAGACCAAATGCATTTCTCCGTGCTAATAACATGAAAGGATAAAAATAGAGGAGAGGGGGATAATAACACTTATGAGGAAAGGGGGAATAATTTTTTTGTAACGCTATGCTTTTTTTTTTTCCTTTAATAATAAAAGCTCATAAAAGAAACAAGCAAGTTTGGAGGCTGCGAGGTAAGGCGTCAAGGTTATGAATGAGCACCCTCAGATAAGGTGAGCGCATGATGACGGTGATGGGAGACAAACAAATCATTTCTTCATTATTGCTTCCGGCGCCACGATCAGTGGTGGCGTTGTGCTAATTGTTGGTGGCCTTGTTGGCGTCCAATCATTACAAGCGCATGCAAATAGAAAAACTATCGATCCACCTGATTTTCCATTCATCGATTTTCTCGACTGAGGAGTCTCATTCCACAAAAAAAAAAAACCCTGTCCTGAAATATTAAGTCCAACAATCTTGAATTAATCAATAAAATGAATTAATTGTGACTAACATGCTTTCTGATGAAAAGAGTTTGAATTTGCCCGGAAATGGCGGCAAAAGCACTCCTTTTGTCAATTCAATTTTTCAACTCATTTATAACATAGTTCCTGAGCACAGCTTTAGTCAAAATGAAACGCCAACTCACTTCGATGTGGTCCTTTGGCTCCACGATGCCAAAATATGGCGTCACAGCAGTACTTTTGTCTCAATGGAACTCCTTGACTCATTTCACCCAAGTTTCCTTGCAACCAAGATGCCGTCCAACGACTACTTTTTTCTTCTAAACAAAGATCCTAAATTAACCTCAACATAGTCCATTCGCACCCCACAAGCTAGCTTTGTGTCCAGAGCGCCGAAACAGTCGGGGATAGGCGAATACTGAACCAATGATTTCAAAATAGTTTTTTTGGGGACTGAAACATTTCAATTCCTTTCAACGGGGAACATTTACCGTATTTTCTGCACCATAAGGTGCTTACAAGTATAAGGCGCACCTTCAGTGAATGTCCTATTTTTAAACTGTTTTCATAATGGGCGCACCGCGTTATAAGGTGCATAGAAACTACAATCGTGGCTGCGGTTGCATCATGCATCCACTAGATGGAGCAACGCTAAAGGGAATACGATACAATCCAGCTTTATTTATACAGAGCTTTCACAACCGCTGCAGCTGTAAACAAAGTGCTTGAGAGAACATTTAAAATACTAC